GCATTTTTTTAAACAAAAAATCAATTATTTCATTAACATTTATTATTTTTGTGATACAAATTTCTCAATGTAATTTTCATCATTTTATTAGGAAATTTTCAAAAAATTTCGAAATTTTACATCCGAAAAAGTCATATCTTATGTAAATTTTCGGATGCAAAATTACATGGGATATGATTTTTTTGGACGTAAATTTTCGATTGTAAAATTTCTCCCAACTTCTTTGCAAGTTCAATTGTGCCCCCCTAACTTTAAACTTCTGCGTCCACCCCTCCTTACAAGTAGCGTACAGGAAACACCATAGTTTCACATGCAAGCACAAGTAACAAAGGAGAGTTGAATAGCTGGAAAAGACAGTGGGGCTGGGATCAGTTTGCATTCATAAAAGAAGGGGAAAGAGATATGGATGTTAAACAAAAGTTGGTTGGATCATAGATCCTAGCACGTGCAGAATGATAAACATTTTTTTATGGGATATTGCTAGAGGACGTGTACTGAAGGACGTGAAAAATGTCTAAGTAAGACATACAATATTTGGTGACCTAGTAGTAGTAGACGTCATATATTGTTGACACCTTTTAACAACATGCAAAAAAAGAAAAATAATAATAATAGAATCTATCTTCTATTGGCCATGAAACTGTAAATGACAGGGATCACATGTCGACTGGGAGTGAAAATCTATCCTGGCATTNNNNGGGAGTGAAAATCTATCCTGGCATTTAACTCTGATTTACCTGAATATGTGAAGGACGTATATAATTTTGATTCCTCAATGATTCAATAATGTAGTCACTACACCCCAGTTCCTCAAATGACTTTCTGCTAAAAAAGTCACTCTTCATATTCAATTTCTTCAACTTTTTTGAGATATCATCTACCTTATACCCATAGCCATCACTTGGCTCTACATGACCCCATCCTTTTGAGGACGCAGCAGAAGCTATTGAAGAAACATATTGTCTGGCAGATGGAATACGAGAGTGGATATTTTTCGAAGCATCTTTCTGATGACGGACGACCACCAGCTCATCCAACAAATTGGGCTCGTCGCGCGACACAATGGGAAGGTCTGGTGGAGTAATTTTTGCTTTCTGTTCATCATTTTCCAGGTTACTGTCTTGTTTCTTTTTTTTATGACTTTCTCTGACAAGATCTCTTACTCTCTTTGCTTTCAGTCTCCCAAAACTCCTGCTCACTCCTCTGTTTTGCCCTAAGTAACCACAAAATGGGCAAAACTCATATCAGAATTAACGTGTTAACGTACAACTGGGGCATTTTAATTGGCATTGTAAAAAATTAGTTCAAATTAGAATCAAAGCTTTCTAATTCAGTTCCAAGGTTTCAATTTTGTGCTGCCAAACATAATTGAAAGTCTTTTAGGCAAAATCTTTAAGTAAACATAGATATACCATATTACTAACAAGTTAAATACAAAATTAATAAGCATCCTATTTCTCATATTTTAAAAGAGAACATTATACCCTGAACCGTTGAATGAGATTTTGAAAAGCAAAATCCTGTGCAAATTCTAAAAATTACAAACTCTGAAGCATAATTTACAACATTGATAACCTTCATCAAGGGATATTTGTTGAGCCGCGTCGCAGACGATTCGAGCTCGGAGGCAAGAGGATTTTGAGCTTAGACTTGGTGATTGGAATGAATTTGAAGATAGCTGGAGGCCTTGAAACTCGGGCGATGTGATTCTCCGGCCGCCTGAAAGTAAGGAAACCGATGCATTGGAGAGAGAGAGAGTTTCCAGCATGCCCGCCATAACCGGAAGAGGGAAAAGGAGAATGCTATGGATAAATATCTCAGGCAAATCCAATTGAGAATTGTTCGAGTCATGGGGAAATTGCACTTCTCTACCCAATCTTTAGATCTCAGCACATTTAGTCCAAAACTATATAATCGTACTTTTCACTCTCCTAACGTAAAGCACCATTTACATTAGTCCTTTTAAAGATTTTCCACCAAATTTGACGTTAAAATTTCTTGGATTATTAAAGGGAATATTATGCCTGATACCTTTTTTTTTATAGGTGTTTTGATTAATACCCGTAAGCTCTAATTAAACATTTTAATGAAGTATTAATTATGTCCAATTGTTAAAACCAAAGCCTAAACCGCATTTCCTCCCTCCTCAGAAACGTCTTTATGATGCATCATGTTGAAGTGCAGTGTTGTGGAAGAATAGGACGCTAAATTGATATAGTACGTGCTTAGTGTTATGATTCCATTGGCAGGTTTTTCCGTTCAAGCTTCGAGGGGCATATAATATGATGGCAAAACTTCCACTGGAGAAATTGAAAAGAGGAGTTATATGCTCATCGGTCGGAAATCATGCACAAGGAGTGGCATTATCAGCCCAGAGATTGGGCTGCAATGCTGTGATTGCTATGCATGTTACTACACCAGAAATCAAGGTTTTCATCACGAGTTACTGTATATTCTGTTATTTCCACAATTAACATTATGCTTTATTTAAAAGTGTTGCTATGTACATGTGTAGTGGAATCAGTTAGAAGTTTGGGGGGCAACAGTTGTACTTGTGGGAGATTCTTATGATGAAGCACAGGCGGGCAGAAGAAGAGGGCCGCACTTTCATTCCTCCCTTTGATCACCCAGATGTCATAACTGGGCAGGGGACAGTTGGAATGGAGATTGTACGCCAAATGAAAGGCCCAATACGGCAATACATGCTATATTTGTGCCAGTTGGGGGTGGCAGGCTTATAGTTTTGTGAGACACGGGCTTCACACCACAGCCTCAAGGCTTATGACTCACAAAACATAAAATTTCTTGAGGTTGGTTTTGTGTTGGTTTTGTGGATTGGTTGTGG